GCCCCCACTGACTTTTTGACAATAGACTTTATTTTAATCTTTAGTGTCAATATTTCAGTTTTATCATGTTACTGAAGTATGCATTGTCTTTTTCCACATCATCACAATCATTGTAATGTTCCTTATAAAGGCAAAAGTTTATCCTAATGGGGCACAGATAGTTTATAGTAGGGTACAGTTTTTTTTTCTCCCACTATGATCCAACTATAAACTACTTAATCTGAAGGTCAAAAACTTTCAAAAATAAATTATTATATTTATCTAAACACAGATCTATGATTCATGTCAGTCCTGTTTACTCTTACTGTGAAACATGATTGAATGAAAATGGGATTCAAAACCTTATTTTTAATTGCTTCTTCATCCTAAAATAAGAAATGACAAGATGTTTTTGCAACCAAAATAATTTTTACAAAGCGTTTCCAAAATTATTTTTACAAAGTGTTTCCAAAATTATTTTAATTTTATTTATAAAAAACCCTGAAGTCCAGTCTAACCAATTGGTGAGAAGATAGAACTTGATTTAAGTTACTGCCTCTTTTTGGACATGTTGTGAAAAGACATCTCACCTGCAAAATGAAAGAAATAATCATATATATTCGAAGAATTGTTGTCGAGATCAATGAGATTAAAATATGTGCATGTTTCCCATATATATTTATTCTTAGAAGAATGGCTAGCAGTTTACAAATGTTCAACAAATTTCAGTAGCTTTTCCTTGTAATAATATTAATGAAATTCCACAGATACCCAGGTTAAAATAACTGTGCATCGCGTAGTTCAAAATCAAGCTTACTACTTTCAATAGTAACAAGCTTGAGAAACAAACTGTGAGGGCTGCCACATAATTCATACTTCAGTTTTATGGTAGGTCTGGCATTGGCTCTTGTGCCTCTTCCAAATATTTCTTCCATCAGCTTGATGTGGGTCAGAACTTCAAACCAGAGTGGTGACTTTCTTATTTTCCTGGGGAAAACTGCCATCAATGCGCCATAAACACTAGAATCTCACTTTCTGCTCATCTGGGGAATATCCAAATGTGTCAATTGACCTCTTGAAAAGTAAGCAGGATGGAGCATGTTGATATGAATCTCATAAATCTCTTCACTTTCATGTTAATTGTCCTGATAAGCAATGTACTCTGTATTTCAAGCCAAAACTAAAATGAAGTAAAAAAAATTGGCAGAATTAATTGTGCATATGGGTATAAACATCAGTTCTTTAGGAGAAAAAAAAATTGTACCTTTTCCCAAGAATTGTAGTTTCTTTTGGTTTTTAGTATATAAATATAGATGATATATTCAAATATACCATATATATTATACTTTATTTAGGAAAGTTTTCAGTAGTTACCTAATTAAATGAGAAAAGTTCATTTGCTTGAACTCTTGCCCACTTTCTCTTGCCTCAGTTTTGTCTTGATTCTAATTGGCCCTTGGGCACATCTCTGATGAAGGTGCCTTATGGGGGCGGACATAGCCTAGAGATCCTATAGCAGTCACTTTGACTGTAGGAGCCAGGAAACTTACTTTTGAATTCAGAGCTTTGGGGTACAGTAATAAACTCAACTCAAACTGGTTTTAAAACAAGGAATTTACTGGGGCTAGAGCGATAGCACAATGAGTAGGGCTTTTGCCTTGCAGGAGACGACCCGGCTGACCCGGGTTCGATCCTCCATCCCTCTCAGAGAGCCGGCAAGCTACCAAGAGTATTTCACCCGCATGGCAAAGCCTGGCAAGCTACCCGTGACATATGCAATATGCCAAACACAGTAACAATAAGTCTCACAATGGAGACGTTACTGGGCCTGCTCGAGTAAATTGATGAACAACAAGAGGACAGTGCTACAGTGCTGCTCTTGAATATCTCGAAGGATAACAAGTAAAGATAAATGCCAAGATTCAAGAGATTCAAGAAGGGTTCGAATGTAGCTATTATGAAATAGAAACCTCATTATGGAACTTCTTTCCTCCATTTAGCTTCTGCATGCCCTTGCACTGAGGGTTCCTTTTTATTTTTTTTAATCATTTCACATTGAGATTCTCTAAATGACAGGAATCATGAGTGCCATAAATATCCTAACTTTATATTTTAAAACTTCAACCATTTTATTCCCAATGCCAAAATACTGATGAAAATCTCTACTAGATCTATCTTGGATCAAACTCACAGGAACAAAAAAGACAGAATATCATTTGGTTCCACTTGGTAAGATGCCCAATACACTGCTGCCTACAGGCAGTATCATATTGTATTGCTATATTGGTTCCAGTAGGGAAGTCCTCCAAAGAGGCAAGGTCTGATTGTCCCATATATGTCCCCTCTTGTGTAATATACTATGCAAACAATGCAAGTTGATAATCCTAACTTTGCATTTGCCAAAAAATACTACCAATGTCTATGGTTCCATTAGAACTGTTCCTTCACTGTAAGAAAGTGCTAGATGGTAGGATGGCTGAATGGAGGAGGGGTAACTATCCATAAAAAGAACTGAGCAGAGACTATAGAAAGAGGGGGCACATCAAGGAAGCATCCCCAACATGAAGCAGAGGTCTCTGGACCTCCCAGATCTTTTTATATTAAATCCTTATGGTCTGCACAGCTGTCTCTCTTTCCTCTTGCCTTACACCTCTTTTTAATATTTCTTCCATCATTTTTAAAATGAAGACCTTCTGTATTATTTATAAGACTTTTATCCTCCAGAGCAACAATGCTCTACTTTCGGCAAAGGTTTTAAGTAAAAGAGAGTTTGTATTCAGGAAAGCATTTTTCAGTGTTCCCTTATTCTTTTTCTTAGAATAACAAAATTTGAAGTTGGACTAGACCACGTTTGAGCCATCAAGTCTTTCCATTGTTGACTACAGCCCATGCCTGGTATCCATAACAAGTTGACAGTCAGACTGCTTGCTCACATGCCATGAAGGAGTCTCACCACTCTTCAGGAGAGCCTGTTCTAGCTCCAGCACATTCTGTCTATACTAGAGATACATCTTTATTTTAACCTCCTACTAGTCCAAAAGCGTCTTTCCTCTTTGTTTCCACCCAACACCTGGAAACAGAGAAGTTTGAAGCTCTTTCCTGCATTCTTTCCTTTCATGAACTCCACCATGTTCATCATGTTTCTCTCTAGGATTTCTCTTCTCCAGTCTGAGCAACTGTTCTTCCAGCGATTCTTCTTTATTATATGAGGTTTCAAGTGCATCTACAAACCTTTTCCAAAGTTGCACCTACTTAACTGGTTTTTCTAAATCACTGACTTGCAGCCCTGCCACCAAGAGCAGGAATAACATTTCAGATAAGGAAGAATCTGTTCAGACAAAACAGAAATAACATATTTCATTGTAGATAGACAGCTTCTTTTCAGGAAAATCACATTTATCCTTTGGGAAGCTCAAATCTATGTTTAATTACTCTCAATAAAATTATGTAAAAATGATTTTCACTGAATTTCTTTGAGGAAAATGACTGGCATTTAGGTTTCACAAGTGTCGAGAAAAAATTGATGTTGATGTGAGAACTTCAGGCATATGTTATTAAGACTGGAATAGGAAGAAGGTAGGAGGAATTCATAAATTGTCCTAGTTCTTCAATCATGTATATGTTTTACATCCTCTTTATAATGATAGCACTACCCATTTTTTAATTTTAAAATGGTGTGAAGAGTAAGTCCATATTAGGGATAAGTTGATTCCTCTCTTCATGAAATCTATATGCTTATTAAGTATATGAACCTGGTATCTATCTATCTGTGTGTGAGAGAGAGAGACAGAGAGAGAGGGAAAGAGAGAGAGTTAAGCATTCTGTTACCTACCTTAACATCAAGAAGCTAACAGTCTAGAAAATATAAGGTAATTTTATTGCTGTCCCTCATTGTAGGGGATTGTGTAAACCAGGAAAGAGAGACATTCAAGTTGAATTGGGTAGCAGATAGTTAATGTGAATAAACTCAACTTTCTTGTACTAGAAGCTAGAATCAGAATCCAATTTAAGGGAGTAGGAGTGAAACTCGATGGATCCTATCAGAGTAACCTCAGTACCAACTGAAATGTATAACTTCAAATAAGGAAACTTAAGTCCTATTGTTATCTGTAACAACTTATGGGTTTAACTACAAAAACAATTATCATGACAATATAGAATAGTCTGTACTTTGACAAAGTTTCAGGTCTTAACTGAGGTTATGGATTGCACATGTGCACACATGTGTGTGTGTTTCTAAGGTAGATACTTTTTATTTTAAATCTTAAAATCTAAAAAAATTAGTAGTGACTTTTTATAAATCTTAAAAATATGCTACTCATTTGTGTGAAATTTTTTCTGGAAACATCTAAATATGTGAGCATTATTCTCTCATTATGGGTATAAATAGCTCTCCCTGGCCCTGTAAGATTGCATGCAAACAAGGGAGTCTGATGTATCTTCTGTCAATAACACAAGTCAATAATCAGTCCTCAGTGACCTTGCTCCATGTCCATTAAAGGAGGTTAAAAAATTGTGATGATCCAGGACAGAGCTCAAGCCCAACTTCCTTTGTATTAGTAACACTAAAATTAAGGATTTCATCACCTGGTTAGCCTTAGGACATTTCCAACTCTTGGGCTCAGTGTAACCTTAACTTCATTTGATTACCACAAGGGGGGGAGGGGGAGAAGACAGTAGAACAATGTAGATAGCCTGAACTGCCACACAGATGAGAAAATTACTTTCATGTTTCTTAGACTGAAAGGGGAGAGAGTCAACTTCATCTTGAGGTGCAAGTCATGTGTTTCAGCAACTTACTTAATGGAGTCTAGTCTTATATCATTTATTCTTCTAAACTTCATACTGCCATAGATTTCATAATCCCTCCACTTTGAAAGTAGAACACAGGAAGATTATGATTAGTATGCTACATTGAAAATTGGGAATGCTTTAATATTGGTTGCTTTATCCATAAGCAAAAAGCAGAATTGCCTTTTTCCTAATTCCTTTACTTATGTGAAAACCTATTTATCCAATAGGTTGCTTGGTTTCTACAAGGGAATCCTGCCACCCATCTTGGCTGAAACACCAAAAAGAGCAATAAAGGTAAGCATTTATTATTCCAAAAATAGATTATTGGAATAATACCTACAGCATTAAAATGTCCCACTATAAACTATGGGATATAAGTATGAATTAAACATGAGACTCAAAACTGGAATGCAGAAATTAGAGAAATTGGCTTATAATTTTACATGATCAAACTCCCAAATACTGTTTTGTGAAATTTTTTTGCATGCACGGTCACTTTTTTCTAATGGGGAAACTATACAAAAAAAGCGTAATGGTGAATTAAATTAATATAATCAAACTATAGAAATCACAAAATATTTTGAACTAAAGGCAATTTACAAGTTTTCCTTTAGAGTACCAATACCAATTATTGAAGTTTGAGGAGGTGGGTGTTGGCAGGGAGAGTAGAAATGTAGAAAACCTTTCTCTCTAAACCAATCCTGTGTTATAAACAGAGCAAACTAATACACTATATTTCTATATATATAATATTCATGTAATTCATTTATTTGGTATATAACTTCATCACCTTCCTCTCACCTGTCTCCTCTGTGAAAATTCTCTGTTCTGGTTTATGCAAAATTCATACTTCTACTATCCCGATTTCCATCTTTTTTAACCACAATGCTGTAGAAGTTTTACGTACTACTTGATGATTTGGTATCTGGATAGGAATGCAGATATCTGGCGGGCACTGCAGAGGAGAAAGAAATAATCTGATTATTCTTTTGATATGTTCTCCCAAAGGAAAAAAAGTCCTTGGTCACAGTGCCTGTGACTGTCATTAAATTATCCTTTTTTCCCATACTACTGACATCCCCAAATAGGGCTTTACCTTTCCATAACAAGGATTCCATAGACTTAGGGTGCTTTCCTTTCTAACTATTGGCTTAAAACGTTTTTTACATGTATTACTTGAATTCCCAAAATTCCTAAAAAGTAACAATGGGAAACATATACTTTTACTCACTAAGTTAAGAATGCAACTAGCTTAAAAAGTATAATAAAATAACCAGCATATATATTTTTTTCATTTTTAAGTTTATGTCAGAACAGTAATTCAAAGGATCTGATTAAGGTCTAGAAATCAGAAAACAAAGCTTTAAAACATACTTTCTCTATAAATGTATCCTCTTTGTTGCCATAGTTTTTGAGATTTCATATTATTTCAATACAAATTTCATTAAAAGGATCTGAATCGCAGTAGAAAATCTGGAAAAAGTTCACCAAAGTACACAAGAGGGCTGAATTGAATTATGAAATGGCTTCACTTGATAAAAGATTGCCCAAGTAAACAAACAGTGCAGAGTTCTTGTTCAAAAGGAAAGTCACTTTGTCTCCATGGAATAATATAGTCATTTGTTCAGTGTTTTACATGTATAAATAAAGCAAATTATAACAAAGTTTTTTTCCTGGGATATTTTTCCTTAAACTATATATAGGATACAATTCATAGACTAATAGTTTAATCATTTTAAACCTTAAAACGATTAAATTTTATCAATGTTAAGCAGACTTTAGTGGAATAAAAATAAAGTTAAGCTTTACAAAACTGAGTTAGTCTCTACATAGAAAAAAAAAAAAGCAATGCTCCCTGCCAGAACAATGGTTAACAGATGAACTTTTGGGCAACTGGATATGGTGTATGTGTCCCAGACATCTTGTTTCAAGTAGATTTTACCTTAAAATTATTGAGACATATGGTAACTGTGTTGACTTTTTAAGTATAACTTGGAGTTAAGTGTATCTTTGCCAGATGGATAACTCTAATTTTTCAACACAATTTGTGAAAACATTCATTTTAGAGTTATTTATCTTAGGATTTTTTTAGGTAACTGAGCAACTGATTATAACAAGTTCATACATCATACATTGCCCTATAGTATTTTCAGAGTTTGGGGGGAAATATTTGGAAACTATATGTATATTTTCACACATTTATATATAGTTCCACATGTACACATAGTTGTTCTGCATTATTTACATATAGATATGCATACATGTATGAGTATGTATCTTTGGTAATGACACTTCAGTTATAATCATTACTATAACCAGAAACAGGCAATGTTTGGCTTTTTCTATACTTTATTCTTTGAAATGAGATTCAACATTAAAATAAAAAGACCCACTACACTATATAAATGAAATTTTCCCTTCCACAAAGTAAGACAGAATTAGAGTTAGTAGTTTAGTAAGCAAAAAATAATGAATACCAGACAGAGACCAACTGATCCCTCAGCCTGAGAGACACTGTATTCCAGGTTCCAGGTTTTAGGTTAGTCCTAAACATCACAGATCTGGAAACACCATTTTTCCATCATCAGATCTTCAATGATTGCCTAATCCTAACTAAACTCATGAGACATTATAGATTGTGAAGGCTATCTATTCACCACTATATCCTTACAATTATCACTATGTCTGTATGTAGTTGATATTTAATAGCTCTTAGATTAATAAATGAAACATAGAGGAAAACAAAAAAGATTAATTTATAACAGGAAATTTTTATTCCTGCCTATTTTGCCTAAATTCCCCCATCTATTTTTAATAGTTTCTGCAAGGTCAAAACTTCCAGTTTTGGTCAACATGGAGTATCAGGAGCCATGTTTACTCTCTAGTCTGAAATTGCAACTATAAAAAATAATTAAATATATGAAACTATTTTTTAAGACACTGTACAGTAGACAATGAAAGTGATACTATCAGAAATGGAAAGAAAATGGACGTCAGAGATGGTCTGAATTGATCCAGTTAACTGCCTTTAGGGAGTTTCTAGACCCAGAGGTAGAAAAGGGAAATCCAGGCAGAGCACAATAGACTCTGAAAAGAGCTTCAAAACTCAAGAAGGTGAGAGAGCAAGTTTCAAAGACAGACAAAGAGTGAAAGAGAAGCTGTCCACAGAGCAAACTCCTAAGACCCTCAGAGGCACACCTCAAGTATTGAGCTAAGGACTGACCAGGGCATATATGTAGGAAAACTGGAAAAGCACCACCAAAAGGATTAGAAGGCACTAGTTCTTGGCAATCACACAAGGCTGGGACTGTAATAGTTGGGCCTGTTCCCATCAGTTAAACTGGAAGGCTTCAGCTTGTCTTCTAAGAGGACTTAGAAGGGGTTTGCCTCCATATAATTGGGCAATAAGTTGTTTGAACACTGCTCAAGTACCATTTGCTAAGAGAAATGCCCAAATGGATTGAGCTGTTTCCATGTCATTTAACAACACCCCAGAACAGTATCTGGATGATTAGATTAGTCATCCAACTGCTTAGTGAACATGGGAAGTATGACATCTGAAAGGCTGGGTCACCTTGGCAAATTGTACCAGCTTCCCCTCCCTAACAATATGACACTTCTCCAGGAACCCATGACCAACTCCCAGCCATAGCCTTCTCCTTGGAATAAGTCCAGACAGACTACTAATTTCTGTTTTCTAGTATATAGAGTATAATAAATTTGGATGCAAGATTTTATACTGTAGGTTCCCAGACCAGTAATAAAATAAGAATGTTTTTGAAACTCTTTAGTCACACATTTGACTTTATGTAGGGAATATTATTACATGATGATTCTCCTAATTGCACCCTTAGGGTGTAACCTCATATCTTACATGATGGGGTATCTTTTTATCACACCTATAAATTAACAAATTTTATGTATATAAATTTACGAAGAAACACCATGACCATAAAGGAGTAGTGTTACATAGATAGGTATTAAAATAGTAACTAATATACCAGTTCTTAGGAAAATATGTATGGACCTGGAGAAATAGTATAGTGGGTAAAGCTCTTGCCTTGCATGTGGTTGGCATTGGTTTGATACCTGGCATCATATACAGTCCCCTGAGCACTGCCAGGAGTGATCCTTGAGCACAGAGTCAGAGTAAGCCCTGAGCAACACCAGGTGTTTCTCCCACATATGAAACAAAACAAAAAAGAATATAGTTCTACTAAATAGTTTTCTTGCACAAGGACTTAATGCAGAGCCCGGCAGCTTGTGGCAGAAAAGTGAATGGAATATGCGTTAATCCATGCCGCCATGCCTGCCCGGGAGGGAAAGGGTGTTGCTCCTTTCCGCCTTTTTCCCTCTGGACAGCAAGATGGTGGCCGCTTCAGAGCTTTTTGGAAAGCCAGGTATGAGCCAGTGGTGACAGGGCAAATGAAGCCTCATGGAAAGGGGGGCATTCCCAGCTCGTCCTTCACACCCTACTGAGGTCACGAGTTGCTCCCCACGAGTGGCTCTCCAGCACAGCCATGGTTCCAGAGCCACAGAAACCAATCTCATAATTATCTGACTCTCGGCAGAAATACTTCCAGGCTTAATAAGTAAAATATCAGAAATCTTAAATCGTGCGGCCGCTATCGCGGCCACACAACATCATTTGGTTCTTGTAACCAGCTGTAGAAAACAAATTATTTCACAATGCCTTTTCAGCAGGTCTGATTTTGGGGTGTAAACTCTAAATAATAATGGTGCATCTTTTGTCGAAACAATGAATCTAATCAAAGTAGGTAGAGTGTTAACTAGAATTCATCTGCCTCACAGGCATTGGGAGGGTTGGGAGCGGGGGTATATTGGGGTTCTTGGTGGTGAAAAATAAGTACTGGTGAAGGGAAATGTGTTTGATGATTGCATGACCGAGACTTAAATCTGAAAGCTTAGTAACTTTTCCCACAGTGATTCAATAAATAAATAAATAAATAAAAATAAAAACAAATAAATAGTTTTCTAATCTTTGAATATGGGAGGCATCAAATAAATACTTGTTAAATGAATGAGTGACTATTTTTAGTAAATATGGGTTTCAAACTCTAATGATGACTTTCCATTGCTTTATTATTGCTGAAAACCCATTTTAAATATCATAGTTTTTCCTTTGAAAAATTTCCTTGAACTATTGCTTTGTTTAACATTCAGCAAGTTAGATTTTAGTTGCAAACGTACAAATTAAAACAAGATTTGTTTTCAGTTTGAAGTGAAATTTGATTATAAGAATATGTAATAATACATTGTTTACAACTCTTGGA